TGAAGTCCTTGGTGGGTGAAGTCCTTGGTGGGTGAAGTCCTTGGTGGGTGAAGTCCTTGGTGGGTGAAGTCCTTGGTGAGTGAAGTCCTTGGTGGGTGCAAACAGTTATGCACTCAACCAATAAGTGAAAGATTGGAGGTTCAAACCTATACTGAGGCACCTTTAAAGGCCTAGTGGTCTCCTTCTCAACAGTGACTGCCTTGAAAACCCTATGGAGCAGCTGAACTCTTCACCCATGAGGTCGCCGCGAATTTAGATCAACTCGATGACTATGGACGTGATTTGTTTTTATTACGTTATTGGTGCTCAGTACCGTTGAGTCCAGTGCGACTCTTTTTGACCCTATACAACCAAATGAAACACTACCTGGCCCTGCATCATCTGTTTTATATTCTAGTTTCTATAATTTGATAAGTACATTTATGAAAGTAAGGATGCTGGTGTGTGGGTTGTTGCTGTTGTTGGTGTTAAATGCCCTTGACTCGGTTCTGACCCTGTTAACATATACAAATGACTGTCTCGGTTTCTCTGGGCTTGTTTTCTTAGTTCCGCCTTGGCATAAAAAAGCATCAGGGGAGACTCCAGTCACCCACCCTGATGACTGTGCCATCTTCATTGTACAATTCCCTGCCCCCAGCTTCAGCGTTAGACCTGACAGCTATCAAGTTAGAAAGTCAGGCTAAGCCGGAAGTGACTAGGTCAGCATTCCTAATTGTCTATTCTCTTTAATCTTGTTGCAGCTGAAACAGTGAGGGACAATGTGAATTATCAAATTGTATAGTGTGTCTGTTGTTGTTGTGAAGTGCCATCTAGTCAGTTCCAACCCATAGCGACCCTGTGTAGTGTTTCCGAGGAGCCGCTGGTGAGCTTGAACCACCTATCTTGCAGTTCAAACGGCTTTGCAGTCCGGTGTGTTAACCCACAGTGCCACACCAGGACTCCTATAGTGTGTCTGTTGTTGTTGTTGTTAAGTGCTATCTAGTCGATTCCGACCCATAGTGACCCTGTCATTGTTATTGTTGTAAAGTACCGTGGAGTCGGTTCCAACTCAGAGTGACCCTGTACAGGGTTTCTGAGGCTGTAAATCTTT